ATACTGTAATGCTGTGCTGTCCCCACTACTTTCTGTATTGATGTCTGGCTGTGGGCAGAGGAGCCCCCATACCATACTGTAATGCTGTGCTGTCCCCACTACTCTCTGTAGTGATTTCCCGCTGTGGGCAGAGGAGCCCCCATACCATACTGTAATGCTGTGCTGTCCCCACTACTCTCTGTAGTGATTTCCCGCTGTGGACAGAGGAGCCCCCGTACCATACTGTAATGCTGTGCTGTCCCCACTACTCTCTGTAGTGATTTCCCGCTGTGGGCAGAGGAGCCCCCGTACCATACTGTAATGCTGTGCCATCCCGAATATTGAGATGATGTTGGCATTCATGCCGAAGTTCTCCAGCCTCCTCAGGAAGTAAAACCGCTCTCGAGCTTTCCTGACCACAGTGTCTGTGTCTGTTGTCCAGAAGAGGTCCTCTGTGATGTGCACCCCAGGGAACTTGAAGCTGCTGACCCTTTCGACCTTAGTGTCGCTGATGTAGATGGGCCGGTGTGTCCGTGTGTCCCTTCATGCTATCTCCTGCAGTCCGCTATCATTTCCTTTGTTTTACTGATGTTGAGGGAGAGGTCGTTGTCCTTGCACCAGCTGGTTCATGCCTTCACTTCCTATCATTGTCCATGATGAGGCCCAAGATGGTGTGTCATCAGCAATCTTGAAGATGACATTGGACTTGTGTTTAGCAGTGCTGCCTCAGGGTATGTGTTTTCTAGTCTCTTTGTAATACTATACAGTTCGTCTAGAATGGAAGATTTTTCATTTTGAAGGGGGATATAGACGGCTGAAAGGAGCACTGAACTGAACAGATAAAAGGGTCTGACTTTGATGGTCGGAATCTCCAGAGCCGGAGAGCAGTGCGTTGCTAAGATGCAGACATCCGCAGCCCACAAAGAGTTAACCATAAAGTACAAACCCTCTCCCCTCAATTTTTTGATTGCTGGCGGTGCAGCTTCCAAATCACACAAGGATGCAGTTTGTCAGGATACTTTTTGTGGTGCCTTGATAGTAGGCCATGATCAGTACCAGGGCGCTAGCTCTCTTTATTTTGC